ACACATAATATTGTGAAAATACATAAAACGAAGAGCTCATTACTGAGACTATGCGGTATGCAATAACCATAAATTATACGTACATCAATAACCGTGACACATTTGTACCCATATACATTTAGCGCTTTAATTCATTATGAAAATGGGAGTATCAATGTTTTTTTGTATAAATTAGTCAATGGGGTTCTAAAGAAGTTGTAAGTAGTCAAAATAATGAATGGTTATTCATTTTGTGGTTTCAAAATTAAACACATATATGATTTTTATTTATTTGAATTTTGCATTGGAAAAACTAAATTAAAATTTTTCGTGATATATCTTTTTTATTCTAAAGTTTGAACCTTGACATTATGTGTGAAACACTAAATTGTCGACCACTTATTGACATATATTGGTCGGTATCTCAGCCATAACATGAGGAATGTTTATAGAAGAGAACTTACACTGGCAGGAATTGTCTCTTGTAATAAACCCATATTCATTGCAGACCGTCTTGGCATCGTCTTGTTAAAATCACATATTTTCCAAGTCGTATTTTTCAGTAGCATTGCCTGCGGCGGTTATCATATGACAATACGCTCTGACGGTGGCAGTCGTTCCATTGTCGTTTTCCATTAGTTTTTCGGCATATGGCTGTATATACTGCATACGTAGATTATTCGTAAATTATCGATCAAACTATTTCAGATTTATGCTCGTTAGAAGGGAGGCAATTCGCAGTAAAAAAATATTTTGCTGTTTTTTGTTTGGTGCATTCAGTTGTGAGTTACAATGTGTTAAAAATGGAAGTGAACTAAAAGAAAATTCGGCACATTTTACAGTTTTACTTTGACAAATGCGAAAATACATGCCAAGTTGCTAAAATTGTGAATGGTATTTATTTATGTGCAATTTTGGTTTCATAGATTCTGTTTAGGAACTTTTTGATGTTAAAGATGCACCTCGAAAATGTCGATAAAATCAGAAAAATGATCGAATTTTACAGGCATATTAGCAGTCGTAACATCGCTCAGGAGCTTAAAATCGATCATAAAACTGTTTTAAACCTTTTACAATTGACCAGAAACCGCCAGAATTGGCCAACAGGAGAGGTGTCGTGTTCCATCAGGACAACGCTAGACTACACACATCTACAGTGACACGCCAGAAACTTCGGCGGCCCAAATCGCCCAAATTTGGCCCAAATCGAACATTCCGAAGCATGTTAAATGAAAAATAATGTATGTCTTGTTCCCCAACCTAATATTTCAAGCATTTTCATGATATGGCGGTAGTCCACATTGGACGCATTGTCCACATTACCCGAAGTTACACTAAGTTTTGAAAATGTTTATGCCTTGTGAGATAGTAAATATATCCATTTTTATCAGTGTCAGACTTTTAACTAGAAATTACAAATGGTTGTAAAACTTAGTTTGACAGATATTGAATTGCAGTCCCTGATAGGCTGGTAGACAATGACACCACGAAATGTCTAATTGTCTGACTGTTTTATCCACTAAGGAAACGGAACTCTAAAATAAAAAATAAAAATATGAAAATACGGAACCATATTTCTGCAGAAATATTTTTCATCCTCCATGAGCCAGGAAATCCAAACTACAACTTCCGCGGTTGAAAATGAGGTGGAATATATAAACAAAAATAATGTGAACCTAGCAATTTAGGCGGACTTTATATTCCATTTTCAATATCAAATATTCTAAAAGTAGTAACAATCGAAGCTCTATTTTAAATATTTTTATATTTTTGTGTTTTTAACAGACGGACATAATTAATTATAAAATAATATAAATATCATTTTTGCCAAAATCTACTACTACGCCGTCATCATATTCCAACACATGATGTATCAACACTTTCAATATAATAAAAAGATTAAAACGATTTTTTCTTATACCCAGAGTCAAAATCACCAACAATCGTGAACGGGCTCAAAGTCAATAATTATTTTTTAAAACTAAGTACAAAAATCATTGATGACAAAATAAACAATACTGTCCATATTTTTTTTTTTATTTTGATATAGGGGAAAGGGGACAACTTTGAACACTTTTTGCTTTCAAGCCCCATAAAATTTTATAATTTTTAGTTTTTTTAGCAAGATTGCCATATAAAAAGGTTGGTTGCGGATCGGAAAAAATTTAAACAGAGATTTTATGAGCGCTTTTCAAAGGCCAGTAAATTTCTATTTATTATTATTTTTTTTTTTTTTTTTTTTTTTTTACACCAACAACAACGGCAACATCGCAACAATTTCAATGTAATTTAAACATTTAATGTAGAATTATTTAATTTCTTGTTGTTCATTGTCTCATCTAACGTTTGTTCATTCGGTTGGCTGGTTTGTTGGTTGGTTGGTTGGTTGGGAAATCTGACTCGAATTTCATTTTGTTGGTTTAAACGAGGGTGTTGTATGGTGTATACCCTACATGAGGTAGTAATCGAGGGGGTCTTGTATGGGGTATGCCCTACATGAGGCAGTAATCGAGAATACATTTTTATAAAAAATTCAATCATAGGTAAACATATATTTGTATTTATTTTACAAAACGTGTCATAATGCCACAGTCGAATATGCCTAGCCCTTTGGCCCTTTTTTAATTTGTTTTCTTTGTGGTTGTGCAATTTGTGTTCTGTGTTTGTAATTTGTTTGTTGTTGTTTATTGTTCGTAATGACTATTTTGTATGTCTTCTTTCAGGGTTGTTGTTGTTGTTTAAAGGCAACTTGGGGAAAGGGCAAAACCCCATGACAATACAATAACATATTGTATATATAATTATGTATAATGGAATTAAGCTGTGTGTGTGTATGTATATATAAATACATTTGTGTACAGCAGAATTTTCACATTAGTAAATTAATATGTATATGTGTGTGCGAGTGATTTCGATGTTAGGGGTTAGATTTTCATTTGTTTGATTATGAACTATTGCTGTTTAGTAAAAGTTGTAATTTCTTCGACCAACTAACAACAATAATACAACCCTGAAATTAAGTCGATTTATGTATGTAAATACATGATTATATACATGGTATTTATTGAGGATTTAATATATCATCGACAACATATCGTGTCAACATAGATAACATATCGTGTCAACATGTGGCTACAAATTATTTTTATTTTTTTTTTCTGTAGACAGCACTACTGATTGTCGATTATATATAGAAGACACTAATCTACAGGCAGAAGACCACCAGTAGTTATTCCATAAATAGGCTGCCTTCAGTAAGACTTCTATATAAAGTATTTTAAGAATTGTTATATTAAAGAATAAAATTATTCTATTAAAAATTAATCGATTTTCTGTATATAGAATTGTTGCAATAGTTTTTTTTTTTACAAATACATCTTGTGCAAATGTACGACTTTCAATATGGGTTCTATAGATGGAAGTCTTTTTATAGTTACATCTGTAGTAGGTCTTATATAGATATAGGATCGTAGAATGTACCGGTCTACTATATAAAGATGAACTTAAACCGAATCCATACTGATACACGAAATTCAATAAATTTAAGACCATCTAAATGTCTTATAATGGATAGAATACCATCTACAGGTCTTCTAAAAAAATAAATAAAAGTAAAATAAAAGTAAAATCTGCTATAGGTCTTCCATTGGCAGATGACCTTCATTTTAAGTATTCTCGAAACCTTAGATTTATTTTCCATTTATTGTGGAGAACCTAAAATTCTCAAAGGAGATAATAGACCACCCTTCGCTAAAATTTCATCATAGGGGTCCATATTTTGATGTAGTCAGCAAACAAAGGCCTTGGCCTATTTGTATTCTACACTACTATGTTGTAAGGGTGTTATAGCTTTGTATAACTCCATGAGTTTATTTCGCCGCGAAATATTAGTCCTAGATCCACTTTTAGTTTACCGATCGTCACTAGACTCAACTAGCTGGATCGATCTAGACATGTGTGTTCGTCTTTCTATTATATTATGCTAGGAAAAAGGAAATCCATAATTTTGTTGAACTATAGAATTTATTTAACATGCTTCGGAGTGTCTGATTTGTCCGAAATAAGCACCGTTTTATTATATGATTTGTTGGCATTCTAAATGTAACTTCCAAATGCCTCTCTCATAGAAGTCCTTCTCTCTATTTGCAAAAAAACTCTAGTAGTCGATTTTCACAATCCACCTTAGATAGCAATTTTTATATGGCGGATGCATTAAGACCCGTAGTTTGTGGCGAGTCACTCCTGTTGGCCAATTCTGACCGTTTCTAGTCAATTGCTATCTTCAAACGGTCGAGTAGTTGGCAGTAGAAATCAGAATTTAGCGTTTGGCCATATGGAAGAAACTCATAATAAATAATCCCCTCCAAGTCCCACCTAATGCATAGCAGAACCTGCTGGCAAATGGTCCTGGTTTAGCCACCGTTTCAGCACAGTTTTATTCGTATCTGATCCATTTCTCATCTCCAGTCACCATCCTTTTAAAAAATGGGTCTATCTCATTCCCTTTGGCCAAGGCTTCGCAGTTGGAAATTCGATCCATCCTATTTTTTCTATTAATTGGTATGGCACTCAAACATCGAGCTTCTTTTTGAATCCAGCTTTGTGTAAGTGGTTTAAAACAGTTTTATGTGCGATTTTTAGCCAATGGGCGATGTTACGATCATTTCTCCGGATTTATCGACATGTTCGACGACCGGCCTAATGGATTTCTTTTTCACCAACCTAATATATTACCCTTAAAAATACTCATTTACTGGAAACGTATTGGGCTTATTTTTGGTATATATAGGACTATTGGAGGTTCCATAGTCCCAATAAAATTATAACTTATATATTTACGAAGCCTTTGACGTTTTGGGCAACATAACTTCGAAAGTAGTCCATGGTTTTGTAGCTGTGAATTTAACCGAATTTATTATTATAATTTATTAATTCATAACGACGGATATAATATTTCCTAATGATAAAATTTTCTTCACATACTAAAGTCATTCTCCCACTCTTCTCCCCTTTCATTTCAGATCTAATATTAGATTATTGCCAAAAATTAATAGAAAAATTTGGTTACCCGTGGGAGATGATGCCACTCATGTATGTGATACTAAAAGATGCCGGCGTTGACATCGATGAGGCTTCAAAGCGCATTGAAGAGGGTAAGTAACAGTGCAAACAAATAACAAACGGCAAGACGAAACGAATCCTTAACCAATATCAGTGTTTTCTGTAAAAAAAAAGAAAATAAAATACAAAAAAATAAGGATACCCAACCAACCAAATAACTCCGAAATTTTGTATTTTTTGTATCGATCAAAGTTCCAAGGACATAAAAAACTAACAATTTTCTTACAGCCATACAATTGTTTAAGCAATACGACAGTCTGATAAGCATTTACGATGGTCACGAATGGCGTAGTAAAGCAAGTCTGAAACGTAAGGCGGAAAATGATGCCAGATCTGTGGCGGAATGTGATGAGACAACCAAACGTATGAGAATAGAGGGTAAGCTGTGGTTAAATTTCTCCCAAAGCCAATTGTTTTTTTTTTCTCTTGCTCACATAAGGAATTTGATATTGAACAAGGATTTGAAACAGAAAACACTGTATTTGTTACGACTTAAAGAAATGGCAATAATTTATTTCGTCATAACTATTTTTGTGTGTATGTGTATATGTGTGCGTTTGTGTGAATATGTGTCATAATTGCAATTTCTTTCTACGATTTTATTCTAGGACAACATGTTGTCAATGAGTACTCACGTCAACACAATTTAAATATTTATGACGGCTGTGAGTTGTTACGTTGCGCCACAAGGCAATGTGGTTGATAAGTAATTACTTCACACAGGCCGGCATATTTCAATTGAAATTTTAAGAAGAAGAAAAAAAAAATGAGAAATCTGCTTGCAAATAAAGTAGTAGTTCGTTGATGTTTTCCCTTTTTTGTTGTACAAATTATGATATATATATAAATAAATTAAATTAAATCTTTAAAAAATATTTAAATCATTACCATATGACTGAATCGAACAATTAACGAAACAGTAAAACAAAAACAAAGGTGCTTAAAGTTATCGTTGTGTAATGAATAGAAGAATAAAAAAAAACATAAAAATAATATTTAACGAGCTTAACAAAAAAAAAAAACAAACAGATCTTCAAAACCTTTCTAAAGACAAGCAAAACAATAAAGTAACCTTAACAAAAAAAAAATAATTAAAATACTCAACAAAACATAAAAAATAAACAACAATCAACTTACCAAACGTTCCAAGGATCATCAATCAACATACTCGATTTTTGGACAATAAATCAGGAGGAGGATCCAGAAAAATATTTTTCAACAATCAACTATGTCAAGGAAAAAGGAAAACAAGCTGTGGGAAATAACCAAATATTTATAGAATGTCGTAATTTTCATAAGTGAAGTGTGGAATTGAAAATCACACACAAATTTACTGGGAATGTAAAACAATATGAAAAAAAATAATTTGTTATAAAATAAACTTAAAGAAAATGCCGGCAATAAGGTCGACCTAAAATGATGGTCTTCGATAATTTACAAAGCTACAAATACATCTGTTTTTGAGCAATGGGAAGCGGATAATTTTCCAGGGGATTCATAATGTAATTCGCAAAAAATACCTAAAGCTGGACACCAACTAAGGCATTGAAAATCACCAAAGAGAATTTTTTGTGCGAATATCCAGTTGTAATTCATAAAAAATAGTAGATGGTAATAGTAATAAAATAGACATTTACCCTGATATTTATATGCATCATCTTATACGAGAGATTTATGATTTTTTAAATCCGTTCATATTACAATTACTTAAAAATAACCATTATTGGGGCTATTCTAATAAGGAAGCCAATATTGATTTATTTTGGGCAGAATTGTGAACGGTGTAAGATACCAATACTGATAATTTTTGGTAAGGATATTGTCTACCCAAAGAGAATCAAAAATATCAAATAAGAATCATTTCGGTTATAAAACGTATTTAAACTCTCCTAAATACCGACATTTTGGAGGTACCGTTATGGAGTGAATAACCTAAAAATATGGACACTCAATGAGATCCGAATTAAATTGTAAAATGTGCCCAAAATCTTCAAAATACCAAAAATATAGGGGTATCGTTATATGGGAGACACCCTAAAAAGTGAGCTCCAAAATACCCAATATGTGTGCTACCTTAAAAAGTGGACCACTTTCAATACCAAACATCCGAATCAAGAATATCTGAATCTGAATAAAGAATATACATAAAAACCAGTCGGACGGGCCGACCATACGATACCCTACACAATTAACACGGAACTCTAACTTTCTGATGTTTATTCCGAGCCTGGACAATATTTCTGATATTTGCACCCTCTTGCCGATTAGAGGTCAACAGCACCTCTACCTTACACTGATATATTTTCTGAATGTTACTAATATTCAGTACATCCCTTTTATACTTGTCCAGATTCCCTTCACCATGAACTGCATTGTTCGATTTATAATTGTGGCCTATAGATCGACTCAAAAAAAAATTTTAAGCCCAACTTTCACATCTCCGAGTACATAGGCAGTATAATTGGTATTAATTTACAGGTCGACCACTTCTCTTGGATGTACTATCAACTTTTCGGGTCTATGTCCTTCAAGGGTAAATATATACTAAAAATTTTGTAATTTTTCACACAAAAGTCAGGGTCCATTTGACCAGCTAAATATTAACCGATCTTTGTCAAAACAGGCATGCTTATTCTTTTGTCCGATCCCCTTCTCCGTGTAAAATTTTGCGATGTTTGGGCCATAATTCTGGCCTCTGGAGCGACCAAAAAACCGACAAAAATTAAGTATTTGGTCCATTTCATATCTTAAATATTAATTGATATTTTCCAAAAACAATAGGGGTCTTCATTGACCTGAACCCTTCCTACATACAAAATTTCGTGAAGATTGTTCCATAACTGTGGCATGTATCGTGTTTATAAATTATAATGGACAGACAAACGAGACAAGGACAATATTTCGCGGCGTTACAAACTCTTATGGCTGCATAAAGGTATAATACCCTTACAACATAGTTGTGTAGGGTATGAAGAGAATAATTCAAAGGTTTTGTAGAGGGTATTAAGAAATTTGGAATTTTTATCTATTCTCATTATTTTCGGAACCAGAAGTACGTCTGTTGTACATGGCTTCTGGTGGCAAACTATAACTGCTTACTCTGCAACCGACTCACATTTTTCCTTCAAAGGAACCCTATAAAATGTCATTTTGTCCATTGAAATGGGAATAGACGTTTGGAATTAAATATTAGCCAAGTTAAATACCAATGTATTTTCAAAAAATTGACTTTTTTGATGAACTCGACAATCCTGTTGCTTCAAAAAAATATATACATTTGTAGAAAATTAGAAGAAAAACTATTTCCCAGTAAATTTAACCTTAATACTAGACATTCTATAAACAAAAATGTTATTTTTCCAAAAAGAAAAAAAAAACACCATGAGCTGCTAACAATCATCAATCAACAATCCAAATCTTCAATCAACAAAACACAAAATGATCATCAATCAACATACCCCAAATAAAAAACAATTCAATTCTCTGGATCTTCAATCAACTTTCCCTAGATGGCGTTTCAAAACTGGTGCTGAATGTTGGACTTGGAGCAATTATATATTCAAAAAAACATCACACCCTCTTCAGCTAACAATTATTGCAGCACACACAAACATAACTAAATAAAATACATTAAATATATATATAATTAATATTAAGATTGCAAAGGAAATGTTTACGAAAATTCCTTGCTTTTTATTTTAATTTTTGAAAATTCATTGTTGAGTTTATTCACAATATATGGCTTATGAGATTCCCTCTCAACGTTTGAATTGCAAAAAGCTCATAAACTCTTTGGGTAAATTCAGAGAAGATGTATATAAAATGTTTTTTTCTTTGAGCTAAAATTGTGAATATATTCAAAACAAGGCAGCAAATGTTGAATACTTGTCAAATAGCATTATATAGTACAACTTAATATGGAAATTTACATTTTTTATCTTTCCAACTTTTTTGTCTTTATCAATGTCCAACAAAAAATATTTAAAAAAATGGAATACCAAGCGTTTGACCTGTATTCATTTAATTTAAATAAATCTCTTTAAAAAACCCTGAAAATGTTGTTCACATTTTCTAAAAAAAATACATCACTTCTGTTGATATTTCTGTATAACACATACATACATATATATATTTTTAATAAGAATTGTTATATATTAATTTTTAGTTAATTTTAAAAAGTATACATATTTCTTTTATAAAATTTTAATGTTCCATTTAAATACATAATTGTAGTTTAATTGTTTTTTTTTCTTATTTTATTTTAAGAAAATGTTTGTAAATTTATCACACGGTTTATGTTTTTTACTAATGGCAACACTTGTAGGTGGTATATATGTAAAACATATGGCAATATTTGGCTAAAAACAAATGAACAAGGTGTAAGAAATACAACAGCATTGTTGTTATTAAAAATAAATTGTCAGTGCCAGTAATAGGTTGTTAGGGTTGGCCAGAGAACTTTTTTTTTTAAGTTATATAAACACTAAAAAAATTCCGAAGAAAAATAAAAAGAAAATATGTTTTATTTTTATAAATCAATCGTTTTGGATATATTTTCAATATTACCAAAATAAAATTATAAACCGGATGTATAGACCCTAATAAATTTTGATAATTTATTTTATAAAGAAAATGGTAAAAAAATTACTGATTTATCACTTTCACCTTGATTGTCAATATTACAAAAATAAAATATTTGTTGTTAATATTTTTGCCAAATGTTTTACCTTACAATTAGTTTTAAATTATTTACTCTTAACAAAATACTATTAGTTTAATATAAATGTATATTGTTTATTACAAAGGCCATATAAATATAATTTTTACGAATATTGGAAACAACAAAATATACACCTCTAATCACATTTTAAAACATCATAGCATAAGACAACAATTCGCATAAAAAGATTGTACTTAAAATTTATATTGATTAATATTGGAAAGTAATTACAAAATTACAATTCTTAATTAATAAATTATTAATTGAATTAAAAAATATTTTTTTATTTTTTTAATCAATTTAAAACATTGTGAATAAATTATTAATTCATTGAAAATATTATTTATACAATAATTTAACTAATTAACGGATTAAATTATCAGTGGTAATACTTACAAAAAAAAATCGAAGTAATTATTCATTGAAAATTAAAAACAAAATAATTAATAATTGATTGAATTATAAATTAATTAATAACTAAAAATTTTAAATAATGAATAACTACAAAATTGTAAATAAAATAAAATTAAAACAAAAATATTTTATTAAAAAAAAAGTATATATTTATGAATTTTTTCATAAAAAATTAAATTTAAATTTTAAATTAATACGGATCTCGACCTTGGGCTTTTATTACAAAAAAAAAACAGTGTGGCGT